AATAACCACTTGAGCCATTACTACCGGCACTTTACTAATAACAACTCTCACTACGTTAACCTTCACTCTACTCTGACTTAGCAACCTAAATATGTCTAATGCACTTCTTTTCTAGTGTAGTTAATTCTCCCTTTATTACATTATGTTACCGTAAAGCATTTTATCGCCTTGGGTTTATTTTTTGGCATTTTTTATGAAGGTTATAATTTCTGAAGTTAAACAAACCTTTTAGTTATAGTATTGCAAAAAAATCAGCTAAGTACTGTACTGTAAAACCCCTTCTCATTGGAAGGCACACACATTTCAACTATTAGAAGCGTCTTAGTTACAACAATTTTCCCATTTGTCGGAAAAATAACTTCTTGTACTGCACTTTGTACACAGTAAAAATTAGTAGTTACCGAAACCAAAATATTTTTAGTAGTTTTAGTTCCTTAATTCGCGCCAGGATCAGAAGTTAAAGGGTAGGACGAAAGATCTACAAATGTCTCCCGAGAGGTTGGGTGAAACGCCTCAGGAGTTTAACCATACAGTAGCACAACAACAACAACGGTGGCAAACACGAGGTGTCAAGTTGCTTTGATCTATTCGTACATTAAAGGGTCATTTCAAGGGGGTTCATAGTACAGGTATACGAAAAAATATGACCGTCGGCAAAATTCAGAACGACACTTTGGTTGCTTCGGGTTCTCCAGTCAGGTATATTATTTCTTGGTTATAAACACATACGCAGACGTAAAATCTACGAATACACTTTAAACGAGGCACCAATGTTCCTCAGGTTCTTGTCAATAGGAAACTTATCTTGCATCGTTGACGTTACTTATACAATCCATTTACTTAAATCGTATTCTCAACTCCAAAAAAAAAAAAAATTAATAATAATAAAGTACTCTTACGTAGAGCACTTCTAGCTCGCACATACCCGAATGCAAAATAGCGCGTACATACACACAAGCTTGCATGCACACTGCTCCCTACACCTCAAAACTGGGCCACGACAACAGTGGATGATATCGACTTTTAGCACGAAGGTTACCGCAAGAAGATTTGTCACGACACAAAGAAATGTAAACGACTTCCTCTCTCATCTTAAACCTCTCATGTGCCGCACCACAAACAACTCCTCCACTATTTCATCTTCCGCTTTGTGGCCCATGATTAATCTTTTTATTAAAACCTCGAGCTTTGGGCTGGTTTGAAATAAATTCAACAAGTCATATAATTATTATTACTACACAATAGGCGAGAGCCATTTAATCTAAAATATGTGTGATTCCTCAAACGTTTAAAAACATCACATTAAAATAAAAAAACCCGTGTTATTAACACTTGTCCGAAACAGGTTATTAAAAACAATCCCTCCGTGACGAACATATAACAAGCAATTTCCCGCCTTAGGCCAGCAGACATTAAGAACTATACTCCATAAGCTTTTTCTTACTGAGTTGCCAAGTGGTGGTGCGTTGTATACGTGTCCAACTGGACTATGTCACCATGTGTATGAAATTTCCGGAACTAAAGGATGAACTCTTATACTGTATACCGAATATCTGCAACATAAGAAATGTCTGTATAAGTATTGAAAACAGACGAACACGGAATTTACGATTGATGAGATAAATGTTGGCGAGGTGGCGGCTGTCGGAGGAAAAAAAAGGGTGGTTGAGGGGATTGAGATGAAGAGGGAACGGCAGGGGGCACAAGGATCTAGCTGGAGTATTAATCATTAATCTTAGACCGAGGGTCAACCTGGATACAGCCCTGTTATACATCATTGACATTTGGGAATGCAGTGTGTGCCGACAGGTGTCAAGAATTCGAAATTAGAACCTGCCACCAACACTCGACTCCCTGAAAAGATGTCAAGACCAGACTCCTATAAGCAAAACCAGGAAGTGTATGAAGGTCTATTCTCAAGATAAACCATGGGTGTTGCTTTACTTGAACGGAATTCCAAATTATGCCTCTTTGCCGCCAGTCTGTGAAGGAGCAGAGGCGCTCATTTATGGAGGAAGGGGGGAGACGTGGGGCAGGAACGAAACGGGAGTGGAAGGGGGTGGCAACAGTGAGTGTGGTGGCGGGAGAGGGGTTGCAAAGAATGGAGGGTAATGGGGGTGTAATGTACGTGTCGAAGAGGGGGGGGGGGACGGAGGGGGACAACCAGCCAAGCTAGCCAGGAACGATACAAGTCTGTGTGATGGTGCACGCAGTCAGGGTTTGTTGCTAACCCACTCGTTGTCACTGAATACGGAGATAAAACTTGTCGATATGGACGAGTGAATTCCCCTAAGTTTACACAAGGCATTTTTGGCCGATAAATAATCTGGCAACTACAACACTACATATCAATACTGTACTATAACAATTTATTGGTGTATAAAATTTAAACATCCAACATCTGCCAAACTCCTTTTTATGACAAAGCTCGAACTGCATCGCTCTTAACAGTAAGTAACCTTGGTCAAATAGAGCAGTGTTTTAGTTAATTCTAAGTTTATATTATCATTACCACCAAACTATTCCCAAGTGTGATCGAGATACGCGAGTCATCTGTGCAGTGAAATGGGGACAATCAATTGGCTCAATCATCTGGATATAAATGAACACCGTTTATCCCGCCGTTGATTGGAGTTGGAAGTAAGACACAACACAAAGAGTTATGGGAATATGTCGCGGAAGGAGGAGCTCTGTTGTGAAGTACGTCAGGTGCGAGTATGTGGAGGCTGGACTTGTTTGAGGCCGGAGATTGGAATAGTGTCTATTAGAGTGTGTGTGGTAGTGGTTCGGGATTTATAACGAAAAGTGAATAATAAGAAAAGATGAGGTGTCCTAGGAAAAGAAGTAAAACTTAAAAAAAAATCGCACAAAGAATACTGACAAGCAACAGCCTAAAGAATGAACAGTGAACGGATTGAGGGTGGGAGGAAGTTAACAGTAACTTGTGTGTTCTCACAAGAACTTAATGTGTACCCATATTCGCGAGATCTATATAGTTCAGTTTGTACACGTGCGTGTACACTTGCGGGGAGTGTAAATGAATGGCGGCAGCAAGCAAGACCCGTGGCAGTGCACGTCGTGTACCGAACGTGTATCTCTTCAGAGGACAACTTTGTGTCTGCGAGGTCAACAATTTCCATCCCAGTGAATGTCCTTTGTATAATTTTCAGGATTCCAAATTTTTTAGTTCCCTATCCGTGCTATGGAAGGTTGTAAACAAATCCAATTATTGGAGGGGTGTCACCATCACACCTCCAATCCCTCCTTTAGTACCGTCACGGGTGGGGGGTGATTAGGTATAGAAAAGTAGTGGGAAGCACATGTTATATGACGTCAGCACAGAATATAATCATCGTGCCAGACCAAAGCTCCTGACCATGAGCCCGCATAACCCATTCGTATTTCTTCCCCTCCTGCTCACACACACTATTGTTATTATAATTCAAAGACGCGGTTTCTCATGGCCTGTCCATGGCAACCCAAACACTTATTCAGCACGTCCAGTCTAGCATGATCATTCCATATACAGAAGGTACATACCTCTGCTCGACTCCTCACTTCCTCCCACACAAAACATCCTCCACAGTATGCCTTCTCCCTCACAAACTCCAGAAGCACGCACTTATCGCCCTTACCCCACACAAGCGCCCCCAGACAATAAATACCACACAACGCCCTCTCCCACACAAACACCACCCCCAATATGTAAACCTTTACAAAAACGCCAACACAAACTTTCACCAGCATGATCATCACAATTAACATCTCACTCCATAACACTTTAAAGAGCCACAAACCCACCGAGGACCTTCAAACTTCAATTAGATGCTCTCGTAACATCCAAGGCCTAAAGCCTCGCCAAACTACCATGACCACAAAAGCATGGACTCCCGAAAACCACCAAGAGCTTTGCTTTAAAGCAAGTATTATATCGAACATTACATTCACAAAGAACACTTACGGTTTGGAAAAAGGTTTGGTACACCCATATTTCAACGTAATCGGTTTATGTATTTTTTTACAACTACATACTGCTACACTATGCTCCAAAGAAAATTACAAAAAATAATCCTGTTGCATAAAGAACAAACGAGTCTGCAATAGGCCGGTTGGCCAGTGCATGGCAGCTCCTGTCTACAGTTACAACCACTATCATCCATGAATCTATCTAGCCTCCTTTTAAAACTTTCCAGCGTTCCAGCACTTACTACAAAGTTGCTAAGCTTGTTCCACTCGTCCACCACCCTATTTGTGAACCAGTTCCTTCCTATCTCCCTCCTAAACCTAAACTTATCCAACTTAAATCCGTTGCTACGAGTCCTATCCTGCTCGGATATTATTACGTACCCCAGCACAAAATCATGTTTTTTGTTAAGTTAGGTCGTTTTGTCTCATTTCTAGTCCACTCTTATTTTTTTTTTTCAAAACAGGTAAAACACAATACTTCAGACTTAGCCTTTGAAAATTTATAGTTAGGGGACTTACCTGCCCAACACAACGTAGGTAAACCACCGATAAATGAAGGAAATATTAAAACATGATAGTTGGACACTTGGCTTAAATTGTTTCCAAAATTTTAGCAGACACATATGATTCAGTTACCCAATCTGACTCGGTAAACCACAGATTCTTTGGAAACCAAAGTCCAGTGTCCAGGAGGTACTGACGTTGGACAGCACCCCATGGCGACGAGCACCCAGTCATTGTTTCCTCTGGTCGATTCCTCTTTGTTCTTACATTTCGAAAGTATTTACAGTGTTACTAGTATTCGAATAACTTCGAAGCTGCTATGAACATCCCATAAACCTAAAGTTACTTGTATGACAAGAGACAAAAAGCCTTGAAAATACGTATGGAGAGGAATCTACTTTCACTGGGGTTCTGCCGTAAGGTCTCGGCGACCTAAGGTATTATAAGCTTTAGACATCTTGGCAACAAGTCTCTCCTTTTGAAATAACTTTAGGTAAATCCGGGGAACATTGATATTATGTTCAACTTACCGGTAGTTGATATACAAGTAAAAATGTTGGAGAGATATGGAGATACACCTGCACACAATCACTGCCAAAGTGGAACTGTTGAGTGTTGTCACCACCAGAGGGACGGGGATGTGGGCCACACTGTTGCCAGAGCATGAAGGTAAAGTTATTAAATTGCCAGATGCGTTCAAATAAGTAACCTTGTTCTTTTCTAAATCTTGTTTAGTATATGATCACTTCCTATATTACAGAACCAAACTGTTATAAATGCGAATATTTTGTGTTTCGAAGATCTATGGATGTTTAGTTTCATCAAGATCCTAAGAAGAAATGGTCGATGTTCTTGTCCAATTTGGCATAACTTTTGAAGGGGTAAACCCTCCCCCTCCATAACTATCACTACTAAAAATGGTCTCACAAGACAGCGTAGGTGGATATTTATTCAGTAAAATCATCGAGCAAATTCATGCTGGTGTAGCATGTACACACAGTGCAGGTATACAATGTACGTACATAGACAATGCAGGTATAAAATGGTGAACAACAGGACTACTGGGTAGTCCAAACAAACCACCATAATTATTACCACTTCACTAAACAAGTCTTCATTTAATAGAATATGCAAATAAAAAAAAAAGTTAGGAAGAGCAATAATGACAAACCAGTTTCCACCAACCTGCAGGTGAGACATCCCCTCACTGAAAATACTAAAAAAGCAACATCTACGACCCAATAAAAAAAACTGAGATAAACGACAAAATATGACACTGTATTGCCAAACTTAGCTACTTCTTTCTAACCAACATACAATCTCCTCATGCACACCCCCAGGCCTCTATCCCGGGATGTATAAAATAAATCAACAGTGCAATATATTCAACAAATCTTTTGTAAACTTTAAAATTATTTTCCATGCACCTACATATTCTATAACTTTTATCTTCCACTTCTCATCTTCTTTTCTCCCACCAATTCCCATTAAAAGAGAATTCATCGTGCCTATTGCAATAAATACATTTGCCAACTACACATGCTACTGACAGCTCTGTCCTCTTGTTCCACCTTAATACAACCCATGTTGTACTGCTTCCCTCCCTTATCATATTTATGTATATCAACTCCACTATACAGTAAAGCAGGGGTTTTCAAACTATGGGTCCTGACCCTTCAGTGGGTCGCGAAAAAAATAAATTGGGTCGCAAAATAAAAATGGGTCGCGAAAATAAATCAGAATATTTTTATTTTCATACAATTGGATACAAATAATTCAAATATAAATGGATCATGAGAAATTTACATGAATTTTGTCGATGCTAAATACAGTAAAGGAAAATTGTGAACAGTGTTTGTCTTTGATTTACTCATTTCATATCATTACACTTAGGTTTAATGGGTCTCAATTCAAATTGTTGTTCTGGCTGTGGGTCGCAGTAAAAAAAGTTTGAAAAACACTGCAGTAAAGTATGTAAATATTCATAATATGAATGTATAAAATTAAATAAATAAATATATAAATATCGAAGTGATAACCGTGGTAACATTCTAATCGGGGGTGCTTGAGGACATTCTTGCTGTTTATCCCAAATTTGCTAGCCCACACTAATTAATCTTCAATTAGAATATGACGTCAAATGTATATGAACCACTGTCTTGCATGGCAGTGAACAGTGACATCACCCACACGACTCTGACCTATATATAAATAATAATAATAATAATAATAATTAACGGTTTATTGAAAGAGCTTGGCAGCCAGAAGGCTGAAAATATACAGTTACATATTTGGGGAATGGGTTACGAATTACAAATAATATACAAGTAACATAAGTGACACAAATAAGATATATAATAACTAGATGGGGAAAAGCTCAAACTACAGTTCATTTCAACATAGTGACAGTGTAAGGAGCAGTGTTTACTGGGAGTGAATACACTGATTTATTACAAGTTATACTGCTAATGAATATGCTGCATTTCTTTGTGTACGAACCTCTGTCCTAAATGGCAGTGAACAGTGACATCACCCACACAACTTTGACCTATATACAGTATACTGTTAATGAATATGCTGCATTTCTTTGTGTATGAACCTCTGTCCTGCGTGGCAGTGAGAAGTGATACCACCCTCAGTGTCAAGACCTGGCTGAATTACTCAGAATAGACAAACTGTACTCCAAGCTTTGTCAAAAAAATTGTTAAACTAACTAACTGATATGTTCTTATTACCACCATGATACATGCGCTGTTCCAGATGATACTAAATGTCACATAATACTTCCTTGAGATAAATGTACAGTACCGTATAAATCATGTGCCTTCTAGAGAGCTCAGGCTCTCAACTGGCTGAGCCATGTTAATATTATAAATTTTATCTGTGTTCTGGCTAAATAAACTGTTTCAATATCAATATCCCCCCTTCTTTCCTCTCACCAGATACTGACATTACTCGGAGCAACGACATAAATTAACCTGACAACACTTTGATTGTTGACTTTCATCGTCCAAGCATTAGATTTAAAATAATAAAATATTATCGAACAATTATTGGTATCAAATGCTGTACCAATCGAGAAAGTCAATAATCACCAACAAAATGTATAGTTTAAAGAACAGAGGAAGTATTGGGATCTGGTAACACTGTAATGCCTCCCGCCACCCCGCGAGGGGATGGAAGTAGGGGTAGTGGGAGGGGATCATTGTTGGGGGCGGTTGGGTCTGTTTGTAGATGGAGGGGGGAGGGTTGTCCCTACCACAACTGCCACGCCCGTAAATCTCGCTACGTTGTTGTTCTCGTTCGTGACCAAATTCGACCAAGACATCTTTACCAGTCAATCTCAGGTTAAAACTTGACATATTTAGGTATCCAAAGACAATCGATTGGAAGTCTTTATTAGGATTAATGTGTGAAAAACAGGGATCTGTATCTAAGCTAAACCAGGAGTACGGGGTGACGCTCAGAATTGGATAGCATGAGTTGCATGATTTGCTATTGGCGGCCTCATACGGTATCATAGATTCATTTTTAGCCTTATTAGATGTTGTGGATTATCCTGCAGTAATTAATTTTTTCGATACCCATCTTACTTATGAACACGGAGGGTGTATATAGAAAAAGCCATCGAACTCGTATGCAATGTTTGCCAGCCATATACAACACACTGTTTTCTAAGAAAGAAATGCACATGCACACCAGCGTGGGCATTTAACTTTATTCTCTTCGGCACTGGTAGGCCTGTTAGACGCTTGGGTGAAGGGTAACGTGTCTGTTACTCACTGTTGGTAAGTACTGGGTATACACTGGCGTCACAACACTAGCAGGGTGTTCCAAGAGTTCATAACTCTCACTCCAAAAAAGTTTGCCCTGGCAATTTTCTGAATTTGCGAATTCCTCAACTTGAAGCTGTGACCTCTAGTAGGGCAGGCATCTACTAGTTCCAGGTATGAACACTCGACTGAATAATGCCCTCTGAGGTGCTTATATGACTTCTATTAAGTCACCCCTTGCCTGCCTATAATATAAGCTAGGTAACTGTAGGTGTTCTGATTTCTCCGAGTACCTGATGTGCCGTATTGCAGGCACCAGTCTGGTGACCCTCCACCGGACATTTTCAATCAACTTACAATCCTTAGCATACCTCGGGGACCTGACAGTACACCAAACAGGGAAACATGACTTTTGAAGATCTGAATATCGTTATGAGGGACGACGACCAGTGTTGGTTTGTGACCGCCCTTCTTTTAAGACCTTCTAGCTTATTTACTTGATTTACCTTCTCAATATGGTCTGAGAACTTCTGTTCGTTGTCAACATGCACACCTAAGTCATTTTCATATTTTCTTTCTTAACCCCGTTGGGACATTTGACACGCCTTCTTTCTGCGACCTAAGTGCATGCGTTGTACACAAGTACACTAGCACCTATAAGAGGGCACACACACACACACACACACAAACTGTCTCCAACTCTGGAAACTCAACCACACTGAAAAATAATAACCAACCTGGATTATATCGATTTATTGATTGATATTTTTTCAGCAAGAATCGCCACACAACTTCACAGAGGATTCATTATGTAGATAAACAGTTAATGTATACACACAACGGCAAATTATATATAGGTGGCTACCAAACAGGGAGGTACTACCGCCTGGGAAGATACAGGTATTGAAAGCATGTGTTGTCTAATGGTAGACCCTGCTGCCATATGGCATTACGAAAATTGTGACCCAAGTCCCAGGTTGCTGATCTGTCTTTCTGCCTTATTTACACACAATTGCAGGTCTCAATTGTTTGTCTTACCATTGACAATAACATACACATATTGTTTCTCACTCTTGATCTTTTTTTCTACTTCTTTATGGTTCTTTATTATTATTATTATTATTATTATTATTACTATAACCTCGACACTTCTTCCCTCACTACCTCTACCTCTCACACTCTTTTCAGTACTTACATTGTCCCCATCTATAGACCCAATTCCACGTTTAATTTACAAATGTTTGATAACCACAACGAAAAACTGGTTCCAAAACCAGGAAAAAATTGACATCTTCACTTATGAACCTTTGAGAGCCCGTCGCTGTCTCCACTTACTCCCCACTCGACCCAACACACCATTCCACTGACGTAATCACAGTATGCATGATAAACAATCTACAAATGGCCATCGTCAGTGGGATTTTAATAAGCAACAATACAAGCTTGCATGACCTTCGACCTTAACTCGCTTGACCTTTGACCTCTTAATTGGGATTCAACTTCTAGCTCTGAATAAACTGTGTCGTTGATTTCATATTAATAAACCTTTTCTTAGAGTATATTAGGGGTATTCATTGTCCCTCAGTATCCACCGTTATTCTGTCCAAGTGACCCTGATACCAGAATTACAGTACCCATGTGCCTACCATCGCCATGCTACCAAAAGAACTGAGGTTATGAAGTAACCATGAACTGAAATATGTAGACAGAACCAATTGAAGGAAATGAGACAGAGAGAAGTATGAGAAAATTCCCGTCTTTAAGGGTGGCCTCGGTGGTTCAGTCAGTAGTAGTAGAGTCGCCGCCCTTACAATGGTGGCAGTGTGTTGCCCGCCCTTACAACAGGTTGACTTAACTTCCAGATGTAAGGAAATGGAGTGTATACTGTA